CTGCAAACACATGCATGCAGAGAACGCTTCTACAGTATGTTTTTTGTACTGTAAAAATACAAGAAACACACAGAAATGGCAAAGGAAAGTTTCAGCAAACATTAAATTTTCATTATTTTGTGCTGAAACTAAAATCCATAAACTGACCACTTGACCGGAGCAATGAAAAACAAACCTCTTTCGCGCTGTCCGGCTGATATTTGTTGGATGATGTAACTGGACTCACTTCATAAGAGTCGCTGCTCAGCAGTTCATCACCGTTATCGGCAGTGCCTTCAAGTTCGGCAAGAACCTAAAATATTTGCGGAAAAAAGCATTTGTACTGCATTTCCTAATAAAAAGCAGTCTTCCAAACTTACTGTGCATGCACTGTAAGACAGATAAATAAAGCTAATAAAAGAAACCCTGTGTAGTTCATTGAGTATGTGCCTGCAAGAAAGCAAGCCGAACTGGAAAGAACATATCTCTTGAGACCATTCGGATAACAGTGTTGTCAGAATGCGAAAAATCAAAGGCATGCCAAATGGACTTTTGCAGTAATAGATTTACATTTACAGATATTATCAGCTACGCTAATCAGCTGCTATTCATAACGCCCTTCACCTACTGGCTGGTAATTTTTCTAGTTGCTTTGACCAATGCTGCATTGTCCAGTGGTCAGCACTGCGATCCCAACGTTCATTTTTTCTCTTGATTGTTACCAAAGCAACGGTTCTCCTGACAGAAGCATTTGATAGGGCTTTAGCCGTTTCGAGATTTCACTGAAAGCCACCATTCCATAGCGACTGTATAAATATATGTATTTGGCAAATGGTTTTTTGAGAAAAGAGGGCAATATGCCTACCTCATCAACTATCAGTTTTCCAGCTTGGTATCTGCCACACTGACAAGTACACGTACACTTTTGAGCGCACTCTTTACTTTCGCTGGGTGCGGTGCAGCCGTTCTGATCGACAAGATGGACGAATACGTCTTTTGGTATTGTCACCATTTCATCGTTTCCAGTTCCGTATGTTGCGACGTTCTGCAGAACACGACCAGTAACTATCAAGGAATTCCATAAGTTAATTCAGTCAAAAAAGGTTTTAGAGAATTTTTCGCTTCGGGATGAATGAGCGCGGCTTATCACTGGCATAAAGTAGTAAGCAGTGGCATCAGCAGAAATTTCTGGGTATCTAGGCTGATATCAAGGCTGGACATCTCCAGGTTAACAAATTTGCTGAGTAGCTGTTTGGAGATCGATGCCGGAGTGAACTAATGCAGTCAAATCAAATAAGGGATTCACCGAGCTGTTTTGTCCAAGTTGAGTGAACTGCTTGTTCAGTGCTTCCAACTGACTGGCCACGTTCAGGACGGGTTGTGATGGTTTCTGTGGTGTCAGACTGCTAGCTGCAGCTACTACAGCCGCAGCTGCTGCAGCTAGTTGATGCTGCTGCGCTTGTGCTGCAGCCAATTGCACTGCCTGCAATAGAATAAAATGCAAAATGTGCTTGCGTTACATGTACTGTATATGTGCGCACTGCAAATTGCTTTAAAAAGTCGTTGTCAGCTGCTTATCGTTTAATTCTTAAAGTCAGTTTTCAGCATGAGACATGCTACAAATTTTAGATAGGGAATACTTTAAAAAGTACCTGTTGTTGCACCATTTGTTGCGCTGCAACGTGCTGCTGCAGTTGTTGCCCAATCTGAGCTGCCTGTTGTAGCTGTGCCTGAAAAATACACAGAGTTGCTAAGGCTAAATATACAGAAGAACAGTCGAAAGTTAGCACACTTCACATGTGACACAAGCAGTACGGTGATGGGTGAATAATGAGAACTAGCAAGCTATTTGCCAATAAAATTTGATTCCAAAAGATACAAAGCCAGAAATCATTCAGACACAGTGCTGAGGCTTGGAATCTCTGTAGTGTCGTGAATGGAGCCTATTTTTGCAAAGGGTTTTAGGCCGTGAGGTTATAGGCCTTGAGGGGTTATAGGCTTTTGTTTTCATTGTATGACTACTCATATTACCACTACACTACCGGCTCTTTTGCGTCCCACAAGAACTGAAATATTGGTGCCTGTAATCGATTCGCATACATATATTACTCTATACTATCTGTTACACATTTTCAGATTTATCAATTTTGCTGGCTTTTTGCGAGACTTTCATGACACATGCCTTGGTGGCGCGTAACTGATTTACGAGATTTTTCCAAACCCCTCTTTGACACAGCAAGCAACCACTACAGCTTCCAAGACGGAATTTAAACAGCACGAGAAAACTGGAGAAAATGGATAAACCAGCAAGTTCATGGAACCGACTTTTTCGATGATGAAGCCGAATCCATGTCAGCAGTGAATGTTGGCCTTGTTCAATTTTTATTCTACGAAAAACAAGTCGAGTACGCCCAATCGTATCAATTAAATTTCTGTTAAAAAAGGTAGTGACCAGGATTCCTAATCTATCGAAACACAAATACACAAACAGCTCAGCTCAGCAAAAGAAGTAAAAATCAAGTATTATCCTTACTTGTGCCATTTGCACTTGCTCGGCCACGTGATTTACCATAGTCTGCTCCGGATCAGCTAGAAACGAATTACCAGCCGCGATAGCAACAGCGCCTTTTGAAACTCCTGGAACGTATTTTTTTAAAAAGATAAAATTTTCGGTTTGAAAACACCGATACAAAACGACTCATTGAGCAGATGACGACAACATACCGGAAACCGGATCCGGTAGCGATGGGTGGAAGGCTGAAGCTGACGGTATTGTTGCAGCAGCAGCTGCTGCCGCTGCAGCTGCCGCAGCCGGAAATGGCGCACTAACAGCAGCCGCTGCAGCAGCGTTTTGAGCAATCATATCTCCGACTGCAGCTGCAGCTGCAGTATTTGACAAACCCAATGGCATCGCTTCATCCGGCAAAACGGGCCTGAAAAGTAAGTCTGGCTAAAGTTATACTGATGCAATGGCACATAGAAATTTCCTGGAAAAGCTTGGCTTATTCTTGTTTTATCATATTACCACGTTCTGGTCTCACATTGTCCTTTTCTAATTCATACTTTCCTTTTCTCTATACATTCTAATTCGCATCTTTTTTTCCTTCCTTTTCTCTTTCTACTCCAGAAAGGACGGAATTCATATGCAGTTGCAACTTTCTATCCTGAAAATGAGATTGAACTGCGTAACGAAGAGTTTATTTGCTGTATGTATAAAAGTGTTTTAGTTTTCTACAGTTGTTTGAAACAGCCTCGTGAGTGGCGTTACGTATTAATGCGTTTTTGCTTATATGCAAATGCAAAAACGGATACTGTGACGACCCCGGTGTGTGTGTGTGTCTGTCCGGATATTTCAACTCGACACCCAAGCAAGCTCCGATGCCGAAATTTTGCCGATGGGTCCCCCGCCCAAATGCCACCTCAGGATCGCGGTACAAACCTTCACTCAAGTCTGGGCCTCGGGAAAATCGCTAACTCGAGAACCAGAAAAGCTAGAAAGCTGAAATTTTGATGTTATGCCTTCCGTCTACAAAGAACTCAAAGATTTCAAATTTAACCCCCAGGTGTGCGTGGTTCCCGCATATAGCCCCGTGAGAGTTCCTGGCGCAGAAATCGCTAACTAGGGAAATTAAAAAGCTGGGAGGCTGAAATTTTCAGGGAATGTTCCCAACACAATTAAAATTTGAAATTGTCAAATTCAGCCCTTCAGTGTGAGTGGTACTCACGCACGGCCCCGTGAAAATTTTTGGCAGGAAAATTGCTAACTCAAGAACCAGAAAATTTGGAAAGTTGAAATTTCAACAAAATGCTCCCTGCCCAAATACCGCAGAGATAATTAACTTCCCGGACTTCGAAGATCAGCATATCACACATTTCTAGCTACTGGATTTCCGAGCGACCTCATTACGGCACGAAATGTTGCAGAAACGCATGATCGCACGGACCCGTCCGGTTTGCTTCGCTAATGATTTGTTCTGGCGACCAGTGTCCTTGAGGAAGTTGTTATGTGGTTAACTCCTATCACACCTTCAGGCACTGACACCTGCTGTGTAAAAAGGTAAGCTGACCGTTGATTGATGAGCTAAAGAACTACGCAAGCGGCGAAGGAAATGCAAAAAACTATATTGTTTTTCAAAAAAGCAAACGATGAAAATAAGAAAATTATGCTGGATCCACCAAAAAAATTAATGCCTGCTGCCACCAAATAAAATTTCACTGCACAAGCATGGGAGAAACGTTTACAAATTTGATAAAATTTGTGCGCTTGGTTGCAGATGTGCGTTCGCTGGCGTTTGAAGCGTCTCTGATCCGGTCAATTTATCAGTATTGCTGTTGGAAGCTTTCTTCGGCTAAAACGACTTATTTGTTTATTTCCTCAAAATAAAATTAATCAAAAGACAGAAGCTAAAATTCCCTTCATATATGCTATCTATGAGAATCAGGAAGCACTGTGACTGGTAGCAAATTCCAGCAATATTCAACCTCCCACTAACAAGGCTGTCGGTGGGATCCATTTTTTGAGGTTCCTTACAAGCAGGAAGATGGCAGTTTTGGCTCCCTGGCATACTCCAGTGGCAGTTTAGCTATTCCATTTGTTTTAGTGAAATGACGCGGAAGCAAATGAACAACAGAGCACATCAAAAGGTTTTGCGATAATAAAAAAATTCAAAATTTTTCCCGGCCGTTCTTGTTTTTCGCAAATAAAGCCTGATTTGCAGTGAACGAAAGCTTGGGCATTATAAAATCGTTTAAAATTCAAAATACTGAAAATGCCACTTGAAAAGCCTGTACATATGTAGCAGCTTCGGCAAGGCGTCGTTCCCTGTTCTCCTGCACCCGCTGCTTCTTCTCCAGCCGCGCCTCTTCGCTCATTATCCATTCCTTTTTCATTCCAACCTATAAAGCAGCATTCAACAACAGTTAACTAAGCTAGAGGGCCAAATCATCGTGAGGCTCGTGTGCCGCTTGCATTATATTCAGTGAGATTCCGAAACAAAGGAAACATGCACTTACGATGTTTTGGCTATTCAAAGCACAGCTGTTGCTTATTGCCTCATAAATTTGTCAGCCTATTCTGGGAAACAGCAAAAAAAGATAAACGACTTTTTTTTTTGTTTATCAAAAAATAATAAAGTAATTGTGGTTTTTTTGTGGGTATTGTAAACGACCACTCAGACGGTCCTCGAAGAGGTGGCGCTAACACATCGAATAGGCGGAGCACACCAACTAGAGATATGCAGATTAGAATCAAAGAACGAGCTATAGCCGCGCCCGACTTTTGGAGGCATCCTATTTTCATCGAGGAATACTCACACTGATAGCCCAGACAGTCATCGTATTCTGAGCAACTGTGCTCTAACATCTTTATTATCATATACTAATACCTTTTTTATAAAAAAATATTTACACATCGGAAAATTTTTCCCAATTTGCTGTTCCACCCTAGATGGCGATGCAATAAGCTTGCCGAAGCGATCATGCGCTTTTACACTAAAATCATAATGATTAGATCGTTAATAGTATAAATTATTGTTGCTTTACAGCCTAACATGCGCACCCATCACGACAGTGTTATCGTTTTTGGCGCATACAGGAGGAAGAAAGCGCCAGCTGGGATGGCAGAATTAAATCACGCGACCGCATGTAATCTCATGCATGATTACTACAAATTTTGTACGAAAGGGAATGAAAAATTGGCTATTGCCTGTTGGTCGTTAAGGACGCAAATTGGTCAAGGAGCAAGATGTGGAAGGATGAAACCCAGGCTGGAACGCACCAAGCGAGCCGGTGCGATCATGCGTTTTTGTATCAAACTTTGAGGTACTCCATCAAATTTCCCTGCCTT